TAAATATAACAAACTACCCATTCATGCCTAAACTTAACCAGCCATTCCCATAAAACAACCCCAACCCACCCGTAACCCTAACCTTAACCATCTTACTCAGACGCCTAAAACTTAACCAGTCACCACTTAAGGACTTATTAGTCTAAAACTAATTCGAAAGTAGGATTGTTACTTCCGGTTTCGTCCCGATTCCGTAAATGATCTAGTGCCGACCATGAAAGGATGATCTATGTGCTGTAACAGGGGCAGTTGCAATTGAATGTATTGCAAACATGGTTGCTAAGGCAAGCTGGAGCTTCCCCCATGAATTACTACAAAAACAATAACAACAAAACATAGAGAGTGCCAAAAGACCAAAATGGTGAGATTGAAACAAAACGGTGAAAACTGATTGATGATAAGTACGGACACAGTAGAAACAGTAGTGGGTAAATAGTAAGCAAAGTTCATTTGTATAGCTCATTTCACAGACCAGGATCACAAAGCATAACATGAAAAAAAACACACATACAAGTCAATTCCAAAAATGAAGAATCATGAAGACAGTTCACATAGGCCTATTTAATGTGAAGCGAGAAAGCCTGCGTACACAATTGGGTCTTTGTGGTCACTTTAGTGGGAGCATTAAAGTGACCGTGTGAGACCAGTCTTCCTCTCTGAACATTTGCTCTATGACAAGCCATGACAAAACCATGACTCAAAAGTAAACCAGGTCATAGCAGAAGTACTTCAGTCAGTTTTGAACTACTAACTCAAAAACAAAACTTCAGTTCTTCTTGCAGTTCCAGGTACAGGTCTTTAATGTCGCCGTAGGGAAAATTGCTGGAGCACTGATGTCAAATCTGGAGCCAGGCTTGGGAAGGACCACCTTAGCTGGAGGATACCGACAATTTGTATTGAACATTCTTCACTAATTCATACAAAGTAGATGGGGTGTCACTAGCAGTATAAACAGCTTGATTGAACAATGCTGTGTGTCTCTATACAGCAATATATTTGTTTAAGTGAATGTTACATTTGACAGTCATGATCTTGGACAGCGATGGCATAAGTTTTGTCTTGCACGGAGAGCCTAGAAATGTAGGCATGCTGGGAAATCACAAACAAGTGTAAAAATAGCTGTTGTGATTATTTCCATGACAAATACCTTTGACGCCAACTCTCTGGGGGATACACGGTTCAGCTTTGTGGCCTTCGATATTTTATCAATGAGAGCCATCTGTTATTGCAGTGGGCTGTCCTGAAGCTGGAGTTAATCATGTGAGGGAGAAGTACAGCAATGCAGAGCGGAGCTGAGCGGAGTGTGTATTAATGATGACAGGCAGGAAGCTGCAGAGGAGGAGAGCCCGGAGTAATAAATCCTGGAGCTTCAGGGAGAGACACTGCATTTGCAAAGAGATATAGCTGAAGAAGTGATGCAGAATTTTCAAGAAGAATTATCGTCCAGCTCAATCCAACAGACTTATTGACAAACTGTGGAAAAAATGAATTAATATGGCATATACATAATATTGTCAAAATGATCTTCCTGATATGTTTCATATTTTGTCTGCGTACAGGTTAAGGAAGACATATCATATACAAAATAGACTTTGTTGAGCATGTTACTAAAAAAAATTTCACAATAAAAACAGACCTGGAGTTGTTTTTAGATCCATTCAAGTAAATACATGGAACTTCTGACATTAACATGTAACTCTGCCCCTTCTATCTCAAAGCTCCTGTCTATGTCCTGTAAACTTCACATAATTGTACCACTATGACATAGACAGTGAATGGATAAAAGTATTGTCCATGACTTAATTTTGCCCATTTCTTATGTGAAGGTACATTCTATACAGTTTCCTGGCTGTGTTTGCAGACGATATTGAAATTTTGAGAAAAAATAAATGAAACTCCTTCTTCTGGTGGTAGCATATGAAGTTACAGGCAAAAAGCATGTGATTCTCCTCACACTTGTTTCACCAAGTATTTATAACTGAAGATATTATTTTACAGCCTAAAAAATGAGTTTTTAGGAGAGATAAACTCCTGACTACTTACTTTAGGGACCCATAAAACGATAAATAGACATTTCCCCACCGTTTTTTTTTTTCCATATGTGTGAAAATTGCGAGTTTTTAGCATAAAAAGTGTTGAGGAGGTTAAACAAATCACCATTCATGCCAAAAACTTGCAGTTTAAAACTACAATTATTTCAGTGCTGCTATGACTTTGACCTCATTTGACACAGTTATCATCGTGTGTGTCTCTTATAGTCCATCCCTATTAGAAACCACTTTACTCCTAATTGTTCTCTCTTAATCACACTACAACCAGTGCGGGCCAGTCAATGTTAATCAGAGTCCTCCATTATTTAAAATGCAGAGGTCTACTCTTTTGCGGCGCTGTAGCCAAGGTACCCCTCTATTCCACCCCCCCTTTCTTTTGCGCTCCCCCACCCATCCCATCCCTGCCTGCACTTGCACTGCACAGTCGAGTAAATTCACATCCTGCAGTGTCTCTCATCGCACCAACCCCAAAAAACCGCTACATGCTATACAGACACTATCATCACTCTGCCACTCATTCAAAACTGAGCCAAAGAAAGCTGTGAAGAATCCAAAAAGGCTTTACCGGAACTGGGGTCAAAATCTATACAGAAGAAAATCCACCTTCAGCAGCTGGTTTTGGCGAGAGAACGGGCCGGCAAGCAAAAAGAGGAGGAGAGAAAAGTGACTGGAATGATAAGATGAGAAGGTGAGTTGGAATTTAAAATGCTTTCTTTATATAGAAAGGGGAAAAAACACTTATCCCGCTACCACACCCGCACTCCATTTACGGAAAAAGTACTGCAGTCTCAGCAGTGTGGAGCTCCCGGCTGTGTGTGTCTTTGCTCTCTCTGCCTTTAAAGCAGCTGATGCATTAGTTCTCTGTGGAGTCATTAATAAAACCCATCTATTGAGCTACTTCATGTTCCTCTGAGGGCACGGGACTAAGTGCACTGACAACCACTGACGATTGAACACACAAACTGATGTCGGGCAAAATGACTAGCAGGATTTCTCACTTTTTTCGTGACAAGGTTTTTCGCAGAGCTTGCAGTATACTTTTTTCTCTCTAATTATCGAGATGTAAATAGTGCAAAGTATACGTCAATAAATGGCCTCTCTTCTTCATTGCTTGGGATAGTGTGTGTAAACAAGAGACAAGCAAGAAGGTATCCACGGCTTTTCGTCAGCAGTGCAGAGGCAGGCCCGCAAAGGGGGAGTAAATATTTGTCCCCTATTCACAATCCAAGCTGTGGAGACTTCTGTTTCCTTAGAGCCATGAAGCAGATGTCTATCTATGTATGACAAACTTAAATATTGTGCTGTCTTTCACTCTCTCTTGCAGGAATTTGCTGCTGAAACTCTCCCCTAATAAGGTCCTCCTGGAATTGCTGCTGCTGCTGTTGTTGCTGGGCTGGCCCGTCTTCGCTGTTTGTCCGTCCATGTGCACTTGCAGTCGCAGTCACCGGGAAGTCGACTGCTCCTGGAGAGGGCTCAGAATACTGCCGGAGGGTTTGCAGTATAACATTCGCACCCTCAACTTGTCCCACAACCGCTTTCATAGCTTGGATATCATTCTAACACCTTACACACATCTAAGAATTCTTGATTTGTCTTACAACAGGCTGACCCATCTTCCAGCAGGGCTTCCCAGGTCACTCTGGCAACTCTACGCTTCCTATAACCGTGTTCAAGTTTTGGAAAAGAATGACACTGCTTACCAATGGAATCTGAAAGTTCTTGATCTGTCGTACAACAAGCTAGACCGAGCCATCTTCATCAATAACACCTTAATAAATCTTCGCACACTTAACTTGAGTCATAACAACTTCTGGACTATGCCTACTAATATGCCCGCTCAAGTTGATACAATTGACCTATCCCATAACCTACTTGCAAAGATTCTACCAGGGTCTTTGGAAAGGCTACCCAGGCTTACACAGTTTTACCTTCAAGCTAACCGATTCACAACAATGTTTTTTGGGGCACTGGACAAGCTGACATCGCTCCGAATCATACATTTGGGGAGTAACCCTTGGGCCTGCCACGTGCCAAATGAAATTGCCTACATTATGTCTTGGACGCAGCAAACTTCAGCTCGTGTTCTCGGTTGTCCGTGCCATACCCAGCCAATTTGTGGAGGAGTTCGTAGTGGAAGATGGCACTTTGCATCCTACGATCTACCACCCTTTGCAGCCAGTACGCAAGGTCACAACCCTTCAACCCCTAAGAAGAGAGAGTATGGAAGGTGGGATCTGCCTTTGACCACTCCGTACCCTACCCTCTTGACTAACGACGAACTAACACTTCAAACTATGGAAGACTTTTCAGACACTGATTCATATTTTTACATCAGAGAAATGTCCCCCATTTCTGAAACAAGTGACATCACAGATATGGCTGAAGCGACACATTCTGCAAACACATACTTTACAACCGAGAGCCCGTCCACCCACACAAAGAAAACCACCACGCTGCGCACCAGGAGTGTCAGGAGGCAGAATGCTGGTGGTATTAGCGGATCTGGCTCAGCACTAGCCATGTGTTCAAATGTCGTGCAAAGTCTGAGTCTCCTGTCAATCATTATCCAACAGCAAGGATTTTAAGGAAGCAATAGCCTATCCATGTTGAAACAAAGCGAAAAAGCACATGCATGACATAATTTTACTGTTAAAATCATGTTATTGATTTGTTGTTTCTGCTGTATCGGTTTTTTTCCCCTGAGATAAACTTTGTAATGCTATGGCTTAAAGGCCTTCTTTTTAAAATGTCTTATTTTAATAGAATATGGACCTCGATGTTGGATAACAGGGCCAGCCAAACAGCAAGCAATATCACCCAGTCTATAGGCAAAATAATCAAAGAAAATAGCTCAGTAAGTGACAAATCATGCAGCTAAATGTCATTTGATCACCACTACCCGGCTAATGAGGCATGAGCTGTAATGCTAGCTTGATTTAGAAGCATGGAGGTTTTGCAAACAGAATTTGTACATGCAGATATTGCACTTCAGACTTGAGTTTTACATTATTTTATTAATAGTAAAAGCTTGTCAAATACTTCACATGGTCGCTGTGGTGCTACAATTTGCTACCTACTTACATTATGGTCTAAAGAGTCGTTAAACACAAACTAAAATGCACCTTAAAGAGGTCAAAAGAGGTAGCTGCTCTTTTCTTTACAAACTCCAGGAGTGTTTGGCGTCGCTTATACGCATTTAGCTCACATCTCAGACTAAAGTGTCCTTCATGACTCAGTGACGCTGGAGAAAATGATCAGCATGGTGATTGGACGTCCCCGGAATGCTAACCTGCCGTCATACCTGCACATGCCAATAAAGCACATTCCATTTATATCAAAGGTTAAAATATTCACAAGTTGATGTCATGAGTTTAGCCAGCACACTTTCCTTCACAAGTGCTCTCCCAAGTGTGACAAGAGGAGAGCCGTGGATAAGTGCATCAAGACACCGTTTATATGCTACATATATCCAGAAATTCTTCACAGGAAATCTCTGTTATTTTAATAAAGTTTCAACTCAAACAACAACGGCTGTTTCTGTGTATTTTGGAATAAATCATATAGGCATCATAAAGCGTTCCAGAAAATGTACTGCACATCCAGTTTTTATATTCAAATTCATTGTAAATTCAGAGTAAATGTCAATTGTAAGTATACTTTCAATTAAAGTGAACTGGCAATAATTGATAATGCTGATAATGGGTCATTGATTGAAAATGCATTTCTCCACAGCCTATGATGGACAGAAGCCAACAAAAATATAAATAAAGATTGCTTACTTACTTACTTAAACAGTGACAAAAGGGAGTAACACTTTTATTTGTAGTTTTATTTGAAATGTAGTTTGAAATGCTGTATAAATATTACATCAAAGCCACACTTTACTCAACAGAATTCATAGGCACACAGATGCATTAGATAAGACAGGCAATTAAAAGGTAATCATGTTTGTACCAATAAGAAATGTAATGACTACGCCAATAATTGGTTTTCCTCACTACCTCTATTTCCTGTGCTCACATCAGAACAGAGTATTTCTGAGTGGAGTTTGCATGTTCTCCCCGTGTCTGCGTAGGTTTCCTCCGGGTGCTCTGGTTTCCCCTACCACTAAAACCATGCACATTAGTATGAATGTAATGAGTGAGTGAATGGTGTTGGTTTGGGGCTTTGATGAGCCAGTGTGTTCTGCATCTCGCTTCCGTCATCACTGTGTGAAGAGAAGCGCTTCAGAAAGTTTAGGTCCACATCACTATACAGCAATCTGACAAAAATCTATCCTTGAAGAAATGAAAAAGGTGAATAAGTCGCTCAAACTTAGTGGGCGTAATTTAGGCCTTCACTTTGCTCAAGAGCTGGAAGAAGATATTTGCTTGTCCATCCTGAAAGTGCTATCAAAAATAACTCAATAACAATAAAACTAGGACAAAAACTAAAAAGATATAAACTCATTAGGATTAAGGTTATTATCTGTGCAACACATGGCAATTCTCACTGGGTAATTCCTAACTTTAGATGTCTTTCATTGCCAAACAAAATGTAACCTTGTTAGTCACGCATTCGTTCTTTGTTTGTTTGCAACAAGAATGCATTAGGGACAAAATGACATTCAGTGTTTTTATAGCACAGAAAGAGATCCGAACAAAAAGGAACTTTGTGGCAAGTGTTTATTTTTAATGTGAGTCACCCTCTTTCTATTGCAGTATGAGCCTTTAGCTGCTTTGTGTTTCTGACCCCAATAACAAATGTGCATGTTCATGAGCAGTGTACTGACATACTGTATGTTGTACGACATATTATCCATGCTATTGTTGCACCATATTGGTTAGGCTCACATGGATTTTTAAAGCCGACATCAGTGGGTGAATCATTCAGTGCATGTCTTGGTTTGTGATTTAAATATTATATTTATATTTAGTTAGGCTTGACTTGCGTGAAGCAAGTCAAACTAAATATAAATATAAAAAGTAGAACTAAATACTTCCTTCTTTGGAACGATGTAGGACGATAGGCTAAAACAGTGTATGTGGCTGCAGATTGTAAGAAAGATTAACTATTTGATACTTGGGCTGAGTGCTGAGAGCCGTCCCACCCCGCACCTGTGTGGTAATCAATGGGAGGTGAAGGGCCTGGCTGCAGACCAGGCTCGCTCTCTCACTTCCATTTCGACCGTCTATTGGACCAGTGGTTTCAGCCGCTGCACATCACCTTTTCTGAGCATTGTGTTTATTGTGATTAGATCAGTTGTTCTACTGCACATTTACACATTTTTGTGAATAAACCTGTTACTTTTTTTGGACCTCCGCCTCTCGTCTCTGTTTCATACCCAGTTTAATTTTGTTATTGAGCCAGGCCGACACCACCACCTTGTGGCTCGTAATACTGATTATATACAGTATATACTTATATGTCTATAAAAAAACAAATATAAACCACGTCCAAACTATAACTTCATCAAGGAGAAGGCCCAAATGGAAGACAGTGCTCAGTGAAGACAGTGGCGAGATCAGCAGGTGGGCCCATCATGGAAGGACAGGCCCGTATACATGGCATGTACCACCGGAACATAACAGAAGTGACTGGCATAGTGTACAGGAACATCTGTGCAGAGTATGAGCTGGAAACCCCAAGGTCTACATGGGAAACTCCTCCAAAGGTGGTGGAGAATGTTGGACTTCCAGATACAGACCGACCGAATGGTAATGGTGAACCAACCTGACATCGATTCAGATTCAGATGTGGTGATAGACAGAGAGTAGAAGAAAGCCGCGGTGGTGGATGTGGCAATTCGAAGAGGTGGTAACATAAGGGGGAAAACAAAAGAGTACAAAAAGTACGAGAAATACCAAGGGCTCAGAGAGGAGCTGGAGAGGGCCTGGAAGGTAAAGGCGGCTGTCATGCCTGTGGTGATCGGTGCACTCGGGGCAGTGACCCCGAAGCTGGAGGAGTGGTTACAGCAGATCCCTGGAACAACTTCGGAAATCTTGGTCCAGAAATGTGCAGTGCTGGGAACAGAAAAGATACTGCACAGAACCCTCAAGCTCCCAGGCCTGTTTAGATGACTGAAACGTTTTAGAAACCCTGAGCTACAGCAATGCCCTTATTGCCTTGCATTGGTCTTTGTGAAATTAAATGGAGTGACATAAATGATTGTGCCCAATTTGACAAAAGTGAAAGTGCACAATCATTAAAAAACCAGCTCTTGACACTGTACTTTAATATAGGTTCATCTTGTTTCTTTCTTTGAGTTTCAGAAGTTTGAAGCGTGCTGTACGCTGAGGCTTCTGAACCTCAAGCCAATTATTTTCTTTGAGGGAGAAACACAAAGTAATGTCAGATATCTGTTCTGGCTTTCCTAATAACTGACAAGGTGTAGAAGGGTAGCATCATTTACTGCTGCCACGCTTCCACTCTTCAGCCTTGTCTAGAGTCAGCTAGTGTTTTTACACTCCCCCTTAGTGCTCTTCTTCGTACCTTATGACCCGACTGTCCTCGGTGCTATTATTTTTCAAGCTGTCATTTTCAGATGCAGGTGATGTGAATACCACTGAGCCAAAACGTTTTTATATTTCACCAAGTACAATTTTAGTACATATGTGTGTGTGGATGTAGGCTACTTGTGAAAATAAAGTAACCCCAAAAGAAGTAAATTTTCTCTGCCCGTTTTTGAAGTAAGCTGCTTTCAAGGCTGGCTCTGGACCAAACCATAATAGGTTGGAGGAGGTGCTTTGAAACTGAGCCTCTTTCGTCAAGACTGTATGAGCAGATAACAGCCTGGAATATTAGCTCAGTCCCTGGTCTCCACAGAAGCCCCTGCGGAGGGGGTCTCTCCCTGACACGGAGCCCAGTGGACGGTCAGTGAAGTGGACATACGCTTCAAAGGACTTACATACCTGCTCTTTTACTTCAAATCGACAATGATTTATAGAGGACAAGTGTATGAAGCTCAGTGTTACATGCTTTTAGTGCCCTCTTGTGGCCGTGGGGCAGAAATGACTCAAAGGCATAATGTATATCTTGAGATAGAACCTTGGCCCTAAAAACACACAAAGCATTTTAGATATCGTTTTACTACACAGCGCAGGCGCAATGCCATCCACCTTAATCACTCTTAGAAGATGGAGAACACTACACCCAAGTACCTTTCACAGCTGAAATGTGATTTGCTATAGAATACTAAATCTGCACATGAGAGTGTGTTGAAAACAATCTCCCTTGTTTGGAATTTCAATAGTTGCCTGTATTGTATCACCAGAGGCGTTTGTCAATGCAAAAGTTTTACTGGAGTTAAGGCTCAGGGTAATTTCATCAAGCAAAGGCAAATACAGAGAGTCAAGACAACCTCTAAGGCCTGGAATGGAAATGAGAAAAGGTCATAGATTATAATTCTGACATGCACAAAGTGTAAAGTGCAAAGTATATAAATTGAGAGAGATTGAAACAAATATTGTGATTTTCTGGGATGTGCTACTGTTTTGCCTATGTTCTTTTTAGATATCCATGCCACTCTGTGCCAATAGGCTT